CTGCCACACAAAAATTTTATTAATATGATGTTAAAAAAAAAATAGTGAACAGAGTTTGAGCATAGTACTACACCCTGATCCAATGCAGTGTGGCATGTCCCTCAGTAAAGGAGAGGGAATATTTCAAGTTGGTGGATGGGCTGAAGGCTTAAATTAAAAGGAAACTCAAAGATAAGACTGTTTCTCTTTTAAGTCCCTTTTCAAACCTCTCAATGGACAGGAAGTCAAGAGTTACCACATCATTAATCAGCAATAGAAACCCCTGAAATATAGGCAATATGTAAATACCAAGTGCTTGTCGCCAACAGCAGGTCACTCTGGTATGAAAATTGGAGTTATTTTCATTATAAAGTTTCTGTTCTAAGGGGTAAAAATTTAGGCTAAAAATTAAAGCAGCTAGTATTTGAACATAAGAATAAAAAAAAATCCAGACGTAAATAGGGCATTTAGAGGTAGGGTCACCACCTGCTTCCTTAAAAAGTATTCTTTAGCCAGCAGTCTAACTGATAACTGGATAAGCAGAGGACAAATACAGTAACATCTGCTCTTCCCTTAATTTGCAATAAAGGTAAAATGCTGCTGTCCTCACACCAGTTCAGAGTAGCTATGAATCACACAGAGGTGGTCATTCAGAGTACCAGTTTTTAAAAGCAAAGCAACCAGCTTTATTCCCAGTAGAAACTGGCCTTCACTTTGGTACCAACTTGCAATTTCACCAATACTTGTCTACACAGAGTTGGTTCATGGAAAGCTGGAATGTTAATTTACCCTGAAGAAACCTGCTGTGGTCTAACTGTTTGGGTGCATTTGCCTAATGTGCATTAACAGTTCATTAGAACACTAACTCCACTTCCTTCCTCCCTCTCCCTCTCCCTCTATATATATAAAAAATAAAAAAAAATGAGGGGGGGGGAAGAGAAGAGATACAACAGAAAGTCTTGTCTACACTTCACTAAGCACTACCTACGCCAATGGGAGAACTTATCCCATCAGCATAGGTACTCCACCTGAGGTGGAGTAGTTATGCTGATGGGAGAAACCCTCCCATTGCTACAGCATTGTCAACACCAGGGGTTAGGTCAGTATAACTATGTTGCTCAGGGGTGTGGATTTTCCACACCCCTGAGCAACATAGTAACAGACATTAGTTGGTAGTACAGACCAAGCCTTAGGAGTAGAGATTAGATTTCAAGACGGCACATAGTACTGCCTATAGTTATGGCTACACTGCAATCGGGGTGACTGCAGCATGTGTATGTCCACACATGCTGCAGTCACGCCCCTGACTGCTGTGTAGACACACCCTTAGTCTCAAATCAGGCTAGCCCAGCAAAACTGATAAACAGATTCTCCTGTGGCTCAAGTGTTGTTTAGACTAAGTTACATTGCTGGTGTTTTTGAAGACTTCTGTGAAGCTACTCCTGCAAGAGTGAGATGTGATCGTGCTAATACAAATATTTGAGTTCTATTCAAATGAAGTTTTGCTTCCAGTGTCCGGTCAGGAGGTATTAACTGTTGCAGTTCAGCCTCTTACCCCATAGTCAACCTGTACTTGAACCAGAAGCATGCAATGGAAGCACAAAGCCTAGTTACAAAGGCATCATTAATACCACTAAGGGAGACTGAATTAAGTGAGCAGCCTAAATTTAGGTTAGGGCTGCTACTTAAACTCTTCCCCGTGCTCAGTCTCATGTTACCCTGTGCTAAAAAAGAAGGACTTACAACATTAAATAAGCCAGTGAATAGGTTGCCAAGAATATTTTGAAATAGAGAAAAGCTAGACGAGTGGTAGCACCTTATGCAAGGCTGTTTATTACTCCAGCTCTATCCCATCAATAGGCAAGGATTGCTGTGGAGGCAGCACAGAGGAAATAAGGTACATTCTAGCAATACTCTTTTGCCAGTGCCAGTTGTGAGTCTGGTACAGAGCTAGATATGGCTTTAAGACCTTAACTTTAGGAAAGCAGACTGGGGGGGGAAAAGTGTATTTCAACATAAAAAATTTAAAGCCAGGAAGCTGGCCATTAGGAAGATACTGAGCCAGGGTAGCCATCTAGCATGCGGCTTCTCTACAACTCAGGAATCTGGTTACTACACCAGCACTTTGAACAAGAAAAAAAAAAAGTTTCATGAAACTAGAGCTTAACTAACCCTGGCTCAACAGGAATCCATAACAGCCTTTTCCTCTGGCTGTCTTCCTCTGGTAGAAAGATGGTTACCCTTGCTGGGTAACTTCTTGCTAGCCAGATTCCTGGCCTTGATTTCCCCCCCCCCCCCCACCACCACCTTTCTGCTTTTGGTATTACTGCATCTACCCTCCTAGGCAGATCTGCAGTAGTAGGATTTATTACAATTAGTAAGACTTTAGGGCTAGATTTTTTGAGAGATCTCAGCAATCAGCAGCTCTCAGAAGAAGAGGGGAGTTGTACACAAGAATCTGGCTACTTCCTTCAGGCACCAAAATACGAGCAAAGATGTGTGGGTTTTTGGTTGTTTTGTTAAAGATCTAGCCATTAGATTCTACAAGAGAAACAGTTTTGACTCATACCCATCTTTTGAGAAGGAAAGAAACATGCCCCTTTCAGGCAAAGGGCTGGTACTAAAGTTAGTATAAAGGATAAGTTCAGGTATTGAACAGACTATCCATTAAAAGGGACAATTTGAGGTATAGTGTTACTTTTGTGATCCTCTTAAGAGAGTTCTTCTCCTCCCTTACTAGTGGTCCTTGTTAGTGGCATTGGAGAACCCAATACTACCTGTGTTTGACTTGCTCCTGTGCACCAATTTTGGTAAGCTTACTTGCCTGGGTATGAAGTTTTTGGCTTCACACAATAAGGTAGTCAGTCAGATTTGGTAACCACATGAACTTTAGAAAGAGAGGAGTCAGTTTTCAAACTGGTTCAATCTTTCTTCCTGAACGTGGCAAGGAAATGCCACACACAGAAGCACAAGTCAAGATTTTTTAGGAGTAGGCGTCTTGATTTATACTTGGCAGCATAAGTAGTGCTGAGAACCTAGAAGCCCCCCAGTTGAGTCAATGAAGTTGCTAGGTGCTCATCATTTTTGAAAGTCAGCTGCTTATAAGACTGTTTGATATTTTTAAAATAATGCTTCAGGTTAGCCTCAAGTTTATTCTTCTCTACTTTAGACTCCTACCTAGCCAAGGTCTCCTTATGCTAACTGAATAACTAAACCTAATAGTCTCATATTTTACATATATGCTGCTGAAGTGGTCCTTATGAGTCTGCCATCTAAGAGTCAGACATACGACGAATAGCTTTTTATTGGAGGAGGGAATTTCATCCTTTTAAGGAAGGGGCATTAGAGGAATTTTATTCTAGCAAGAAACAGCCTTCTATGGTTGTGACAACCACTGTGTTGCCCAACCACTGATTTTGCCCTTCACCTTTAGTACTGAAGATTTGGATCCTCATCTTGCTTTCTACTTTATTCTGTAGAGAAGTTTGAATCCTGTGCTTAATACTTGATAGTTAAGTTACTTCAATATCTGGAATTGCAATACCACCACAGGGTCAAACAGGAGAAGACAGATGTAACTTCAACTTACCAAAGATAGTAAGAAAAGTTATGCAAAGCCATGCTTAAGTATTGGCAAAGTCTATTTGAAGGTTACCATGTGTGTATGTTATCATTCTACCCTCTTTCCACTTCTGGGAAAGAAAACCTAAGACCTCCACGTCCTCTGCTGAACTGTACTTAATCCATGTTTCTCTACTGGATATCTAAATAATCTTATGGGTTAATGTGCCAATAAGCTTCCTGATCCTGCTATGGAAAACTCTGGAAGATTTAAGATTTTTAGCCTTTGGTTAGGTCTACACTACAATTAGACACCCACTGTGTCAGCTGGCTCAGGCTGCAGGGCTGTAAAATTGCAGTATAGATGTTTGGGCTCTGGCTGGAGCCTGAGCTCTGGGACTCAGAGGTGAGAGGATGGTCCCGGAGCCCAAACATCTACACTGCAATTTTACAGCCCCACAGCTTCAGCCCCTCCATGGGTGTTTAACTGCAGTGTAGACATACCCTTCCTAACCAACACAGAAGGTTCAAGACAAGCAAGCTAAGCATCCACCATTTAACTAGATTGAAGACACATACTCCTTTGAAGAGCAATCCTCCCCTTCATAGAAAAGGGGTCTCCACTTCAGAGATTACTCATAACACAGCATGGCCTGATTTCTGCCTTATTCAGTCCTTGTGGGGAGTTCTGTTTGTGCTACACCATTTAGCAATCATATGGTGTTAACATCTCTTCTCAAGCGGTAGTGAAGACACTTTGAGGAGAATTTCAATAGGTCTCCATACAGCTTATCTGATGCTATGAACCTGTGAAAGGGTTAGTGTTGAACTCTGAAAGGAGCATCTTCAGTTTGAGACAGGCAGTTATTAGATTACTTTCTGTAAGGGGAAGGGTTAGGTCCTGTCCAAAGGTATACAGGAATATATGCATTTGTAAGAGGCACTTGGTAAATATCAAAATATATTTGAGAAAATGTTGGGTGTTTGGAGTGTGCCAGATAGGCACATCTCATCCTACAATTTATGAGAAACAAGCATGCCTTCTCTTAGTACTGTACGTGATGGAGAAGAGGTGGAGAAAGGGGATGTTAAGCTGAACTTTAGTACAGGAGGTGTGCTATTCCTATTGGAACACTGTGAAAGACAATCCTGGGAAGGGTTGCCCAGTCAAAAAAGGCTTCCAGTTCCTTTAGAAGGGCAGGCTTCAGACAATTTTTTTACCCAAACATTGTTTCAATACTTGTAATTGTTTTTGAAGCTTTAATTGTGTTAAGGACTTCAGTCTTTAGTACATATGAGTTCACATTCTGGGGAATTTGTCATCTGAGAAAGTCTCTTCTGAAACTTGGCACCCAAAAGAGAGGATTTCAACCAGCCCACTGTCAAACTCCTCAATAAATCAATTTTCAACTCTTCTAGAAAAGCAACACAGCGCTACTGCAGGAACCAATAAATTCTGGAGCCCCTCCATGAAAGAGGGTAGTGTCCCTACAGTGACCCACTCTGTAAAGCCAGAAAGTACAAGATGCTCATGCACAGCATGAGCTGTTAGGGGGAACAGCTTATGCAAGAGCAGTCCAATGGAAAAACTGACCAGGACTTCAGATTAAGAGAGTGTAAAGTGAGCAGGGGAGGCAATAAGGAACACACAGAATGCTCTTGTTGCTGCTCTAGGACAGAATGTCTTTGGTTCTGTACAAGTTATTCTTGCAGTTTCCTCTCAGTGAATAAGCAGCTGTATTACAGTACCTAAATCAAATGTGCAACAGCCATGTCTTCAAAAATTTATAACTACAGTAATTACAAACATGAGGCCATAGGATCCCTTCCCCCAACAAAATAATGGCAATAAGGCTTCTTGTGGCTTTTGTACAGAGGGTCCCAAAAGGCTTTTTTTTTTAAACCAGGAGCCTAGTGGTGTGATCACACCACACACCAGGAAAACAGCAGAACCAGAGGTAAGCCACAGATTCCCTTTAGAAAATCTCTGGCTGATTAATGGTTCCCACCACACACAAGATTCCATTTAAGAAATACTCAAGTTAGAAATTAGTTACAAGGCAGCCAGGTGGGATAAGACTGGCTATAGGGGATGGGAGAGTTTGCAATATAGTAGTTGCTGAAGTTCCCATCACTGACATAGGGTGCTGGCTGATAATAACAGGTAACATTAGTGGCATTAGGTATGATGTTTTGTTCTGCCAACACTCTAAGTGCTAGCAGCGAGATCAGGTTGAGAGTCTGTCTCCGCTCATGTCCCATGAGGCACACTGTGCTCTCATTTACCACCCTGCGCAGGATCATGAGATAGTCGTATTTGCTTCTCTCCTCTTTGGAGAAGTGGTTCTGGAGGTAAGTCTCTAGTTTGCGCTGCTGATCCAGGATGTCAGGGAAGTCTATGAAGAACCGGGAGCACATGTAGCGCTCTAGAGTTTTAATCTCCTCCTTGTCCATGGGCCGGAAATCCCGCACTAAGAGGTTGCTGTACTTCAGGAGCCCACCACCTCGGATCTCCTCAGGATTCTTGGTAGCTATCAGTCTGTTTCGGAGGTGATCAAAGGCTGCCTCAAAGTCTCCATACATACTCTCTCCAATTACAGTTGGATGGAAGTGCTCTGACATAGGATTTTCTGAGCAGTCATAGTAAAAAAGCAAGGCATCTAGTATGATTTGGAAAGAGTCCACACTGAACTCAAACTGTCGTCGTATGCGATCTACAAACTTCAGCTCTACATTCCTGCCATGTTTGTTGGAGAGGGATATTAAGCTCCATCGGTCCGTCTCTGTGCACACTTTCACTAGCTTCTGGATGTAGGCTTCCTTCAAAGTCATTGCGCTGATTTTTAGTTTGCTCACCCCCTCTGGCAAGAAGTTTAAGAGGGACCGCAACACCACATCTCGGACGAGCTGAAACTCAGCCTCAGTTGGCAGGGACACTTGGAAAATTAGGTCCAGATCTTTGCAACCCAGTCCATTATCCTTGACCAAGACATGACCAGCTGCAGAGCCATTCAGCCGGACATCGTGTACTTGGATGCCTGCCTCATCCAGCCTGTTGCGAACGGTCTGAACAATGTCCTTCAGGGTTATTTTCAGTGTTGGGAAGTTGCCCCGTCCATGGATTGGAACCACCTCTGTCAGAACCTCATGCAGACGGCTGACCTGCTCCCAGCTCAGTACACTGCATGACATGCAATCAGTATTACTTCCTTTGCCTGCCATTTTAGAGTTTGATCTTCTCCAAAGAAACTGGAGGGGAAATAAAAACATTTTAAGTCAGATTTCACTGTTACAACAGAGCACAGGCTATACATCCAGGAAGTCAGTCTATTCATATCTTCATTATACACAGTGCTTGAAAAGCCATTCACCTACACCCCAATAGCGATCTCTTTTTCTGAAGAGATATTTAGTCTGTCTTGTGGTAGACACAAGTAGTTTCATGCTCAGTTTTGCTGTGAAAGACATTCTTAGTTATCAGCTGACCTACAGTACAATCTTACATGCTGCTGCATCACATGGCAAGAACTTGGGTTTAGAATTAGATTAAGGGCCTGAATTTCATAGGTACTGTAAATCCACAATGCCAACTCAATTCAGCACTTCTGAAAATCAGATCCAAGATATTTCTATTTACAGATGAAATAATTAGATTGCACCTCCAATTGCCATGATGTCAGAAGGCAAACTCAGTCTGCACCTTATCACACCCCAATTAAAGAAATCCAACCCCACTGAGCTCAAACTCAAATTCTTACCACTCTAAAAGTTAAAAGACATTTCAGGATCCTGAATGCAAGCTGAAACTACACTTCAGTCATATAAAAGGTAAAGCCCCAACATTATTCTATTCTCACCATGGTCCTCAAGAGAGGAGTCACTAGTTACAATGCATAACCTAAAGCCATATTTTTGGCAATACTAATATGCTTGCATGGACATTTTGCCTCACTTGTGAAGGAGCTAGCATGAATTCAGTTAAGCCATATTAAGGGTCATATAATGGCAGTATCTCACTTAGTTTTATGCAAAGGGGTTTCTAACCTCAGCAGCTTGATGTCAGGCAGCAAGTCTGATAATGCCTAGTCTTAGTCCAGACCTTTTGAAGTCTGTGTTGTGTTGAAGTTGAACAGATTCTTACATCTTACTTGCCTAAATAGCTTTATTTGAAAATGTAATCAGACACGTATGGATCTTTTCTAGAGGTATTCAACTCCAATTGATATTAAGTTACATATAAAGGCACAGGGGAAACAAACACCTTAGGTTTCCATTGTGGCCAGATGCTTTTGTCATTTAAGACTAATCAAGGCCTGGTCTGTTGCTCCATCTTGGAATGCTCAAGCAGGCTGCACATGCACAGAGCCGGCTCTAGGTTTTTTGCCGCCCCAAGCAAAAAAATGTTTGGCCGCCCCCCACCCCAGCCCTGAGCTCCCCCTCCACGCACCCACCTGCCGCCCCAGCCCTGGGCTCCCTCTCCATGCACCCCCCTGCCGCCCCAGCCCTGGGCTCCCCCTCCATGCACCCCCCTGCCGCCCCAGCCCTGGGCTCCCCCTCCATGCACCCGCACCCCCTGCTGCCCCAGCCCTGGGCTCTCCCCCGCCAACTGCACCCTCCTTCCACCCCAGCCCTGGGTCACTGGTAACTTGCTCCCAGGGTGGGTCATTCAGCAGGAATTTTAGATGTGCACAGAACACAGACAGGATTGGTTCCCACATGGTTACAGAACTCTAGTAAAGTGGAATAATTTTCAGCTTGTGATATTGGAGGATACCTGGATGCATATTATAAAACTGTCCTCCATAAATGAGGAAAAGTTGAGGTGCCTTTATAATTCTTTTGTTCCACTCTTTGTTTCTATGGGGAATTTGCCAATGCAATATCACTGTCTTCCTTTTAAACAAATAAAACTAAAAAAGATAAATAAAAAAATGGCAATGGCTGTTGAAAATAGCCATTCCAGTCCTAATAACCACTGGGAAGCATTTCTTGCTCAATTTTATCCTACTTTTTCTACAGCAAGGAACAGTGGATCAGTATATTTGATTTGGGAGAAATGAAGTAACAGCTGCCCAAATTGAGCTTGAGCACTCCTGAATTTTGAGGGTGTTCAAATCTGGAAGGCAGGTGCTAGATTCCCTTTCTGAGTATTAGCTAAGTCTGGAAAGGAAAAGTCAATTTCTGCTTCCATGGCTCAGAAGTGGAAATCCTCCTACATGCTTGGTACTGTATCTAAAGCTGCCCAGGTCCAGAGCCTCCCCTCCCTTACTTTTCATTTTAAAATTCTAGTGGGATCCACGTACCTCCCTTGCTAGGCTTCAGATAGAGAGGTGCACTGTCCATTTAGTCCACCCAATTCTTTCTTTGGGGGCTGCAAGGTGAGGTCACACCAGTATCCCTAATCCAGGCTGTGGATGTCTTCTGAAGGGGATATCTGGGCCAAAGCCTTCTACTCCTTACTTGTTCCCCGTTCAGTGCCACCCCGTTCTAGCAGTGAGCTGTCCATTCACAGCAAGCTGCAGCATGAGGTTTCAGCTACCATACTCCCTCCCCCTCCCTTTCCTGTTGATAGCGGCCAAGGGAATGCTGGGAAATGTCATTCTTTCCCTGCTCCAGGGCTGGCTCTATAGGCAGGGAGCTAACCAAGGAACTACAGCTCCCAGGGCCCCCTGTTGGTTCTCAGCTCCCATGCTGGCTCCCTGCCAGCTGCCGCCCCTGCAAATGGGCTGCCCAAGCACCTGCTTGCTTTGCTGGTGCCTAGAGCCGCCCCTGCACATGCAGCTGCAAGAGGTGATGCAGCAAGGGCATTCATTCAATAGTAAGCCCTCTTGCTTATAAGAGGTGTTTAAATGCATTACTAATCTTGTACCTTCCTGTTAAATAACCACTGCAACCACACTGCAAGAAGGAGACTGTTTTTCAGGCAAGAGAAGTGGTTATCAGAACTGCAGGGTTCCATACCCACTGTCCTACAGCCTCAGTGTGACCTTGGCCAACTCATTTCACCTATGTCCCAGCTCTCTCCCTGTAGAATGGCGATAACCCCTAGCCTCACAGTGCCCCATGTGTGTTAAGTGCATTTGTGAAGTGCTCTGAGGTCTTTGGGTGGAACTTACTACAAAGACCTGATCACATCCTCCCATGCATGCACAGAACTCATTTAGTTCAATGGGTATGATGGGTCCCCAGAAATGCTAAGACCACTGTCTAAATGGGTCACTGGCAAGCACTCTAATGACATTCCATCTTTGGATCTCATGTACTAATCAGCCCTAGAATATTTAGTGAGCTCCTCAGACCCAGATGACTCAGGAGCAGCAGTGTCAGAGCAAGGCAAACAGACTAAGATATCAAGCCTTCTGGCAACACTGCGTGGATGAGTTGGATCTCCTTGGCCACCTCAAAAAGATGAGGAAGAACATCTTCACGGCCCATTTTGCTAGACCTACATAATTACGTCAGTCATCAACATTCTAATTATATACACACGAGTGTTTAGATGCTCCATCTGGGACAGATTTCCTCCTCCCATGTCAACACTAGTAACATTAAGTAATGTCACTTTTGGACCCCAACTGAAGTGAAAATAGTATGTAGAATTCTAGCAAAATAAACTTTGGGAACTCTTTCTTTGGTACTGCTATTCCTGCTTTCAGGACACTTCTAGCTGGAAAGTTAGTTTAGTGCTGCTACTACTGTCAGTTTCCTCAGAGGGATTTCTACAGTTCTGTGTGAAATTTAAACCCTAGGATTGTTAAAAGTCAGAAGCCTCTCACATCTAGGTCACTGGTTCTAATCATGTATAGATTAGATAAGCTGTTAACTGGTAGTGGTTTAGTGACAACTGACCCAGCTGTCTCAGACTAGTTTCCAATAGACTTGGGACATCAGCACTGAGTAAGCCACAGTTTACATTTCAGTAAATTCCACCCTAAAATTCTTTATGTAAAGCAATGTGATATTAGAAGTAGCCTAGGCCCAATCCTGGTTCTAGGCCTAAAGCAAGATAAACTAGTTTAAGATAAGTCTAGTTTTCTAGACTCCCTGGAGTGTTACAACAGGCTGAGATTTTTAATTTGCTCGATGAACCATTTGTATTACCTTGTAATAGCCATTCATATAAAACATATTATGAGTACTTAGTGTTACAGCAAAGAGTATTTCTTAGACATCAATAAGTGTTATTTGATATGATGACAAACATTTTAGATGTTAACTGCAGGTATACTCAGAATGGATTTGCTATGCTAGGGCATTACATAAGTGTGGTGAATAGCAATATGTATTACAGTGGCTCTCAAACTTTTTTTACTGGTGACCCCTTTCACATAGCAAACCGCCAAGTGCAACCCCCCCTTATATATTAAAAACACTTTTTAATATATTTAACACCTTTATAAATGCTGGAGGCAAAGCAGGGTTGGGGTGGAGGTTGACAGCTCATGACCCCCCCCATGTAATAACCTCACAACCCCCTGAGGGGTCCCAACCCCCAGTTTGAGAACCCCTGATATATTAGAAGTACAGAAACAAGCTTGTTGTATCTTATAAGATCTTTAAAAATACAAGGAAATCACATTTGGTGGTCTACACTTGGTTTCAGTGACTAGACAATGACATAGGTAGAAGTGTTGACTCATAACAGTTGCAGCTATAAACTTGATAATTTTAAATGCACAAGTTATTATACTTCTGCACACTATGTTCAACATTGTCACTCGCACTATATAGTGCAGCTACTGTTACATACTTTAGAGTTGCACTCTATATTGTATTACTACAAGCATGTTAGGCTACTATTGCAACCAAATTTGTATCTGTTTCTGTATTGTGTTTCCCTCACTATAGAGGCACACAAAGTAATACCAAAATATGCCCAGTGTATTTGTTTCATAGATGCCAAAGCCAGAAGTGACCACTGCCAATGTAAAATCCTCCTGTGCACCAGCCCTCAATATTTGTTCCTCATGTAGGTACTTTTAGGTCACCCCTTTACCTTTAGAAAGTTATTGTCTCCATTAGTCCCCCATGCAGCGATCTTGTTTAAGACTCACATGTAACAGACTTGTTTCCCCAGACTGTCTAATCCCCCTTGCCAGACGTGCTGCGTCTTCACTGAAGCAAGATTCCTTAGCAAGCAGGAGGTTTTCAGATTAGCAATTGAGATATCAGCGTGCAAAGATAACTGCTGCAACTGGCCCAAAAGCTAATAGGGTCTCGGA